ATTATGAAGCAACACGTATCACGTTACTTTTCTTTTTCTATGGGGTGAAGACCTCTATTTGGCATAGCAACATTTTGGCTTAAGTTTTAAGCATATTCTGAAGCACAGATGATTTAGCAAAAAAATAAACTTCACAGTAAGATAAATGCTAGTATTATAAGCATGTGGCTATATGATTTTTTAGAATCTGGTGTTATAGGCAAGACTGACATACAGTGTCAGTTTTTCAGCTTATCAGAACGGGAGAGACTAATGAAAGAAAAAAAGCAAAGCTGCTTTGATGCAAAGCTAGAGAAGATGAGAATATACTCTACAAAGAGCCTAATTGAAGCAAAAATATCTCCTGAAGATGATGAGATAGATTCAGATAGTTTCCTTGATTCCAAATTTCTGTGAGGAAAGCAGGTATAGAATCAGACGTTTGAGAAGGAAAAAAAGAAAAAAGAATAAAGCCACTCTGCCCAAGACTGTCACATTTTTTTAATCAGAAAATACCCTTTCGAAACACGTGAAAGAATTTATTAAGAAAACTTTGATTTTTAACCATTCATGTGCATTAGCCAGTCATAATTTTGCCTGCTCAGAAATGCATCCAAATTAGAAAGAGGGAGGGGAAGAAAACGGAGAATTAAACATAACATATCTAAATTTTCCATTCTCCACAGAATTTTATACCTTTATTTTCCCCTTTTTTAATGCTAACTGTAATTCAGCCTGTTAGTCTCAGAATTGCCTTCTGGTAAGAATAATCCAGGACCATTCATTTCCTATTTTCATTCATTACTTATTTCACGGAGGATAGCGGGATGTAGGCACACCTTTTGCTTTCCTAAGGCCAGAAGGGGAACCTGCAAACCTGCTGAGATTCTTCCTTGGCCTGCTGCCCGAAAAACAAAACCTACCCAGCGCGGAGCTCTTTTGCTACGTTGATACATAAAACTAGGCTTTCCTCCAGTTAAACAACAATAATTTGTTTTAGTTTGATCGCTCCTCCTAAATAACGGTGTCGTCAGGAAACATCTGGCTCCTTCCTCGCAGATTAAGCCTCCAATGAGGAAAGTGTGTTTATAATTCTAATTTGAAACGCAGCACATTAATATGCTGATTCTCACCATGTTTGCCTTAACCTGTTTGGAGAAATTATGACTACAAATACCTCGTACACAACACCTCTAAACTACCAGCTTGTGCAAACAACACGAGAGCCGCCGCGGCCTCACACAGATGATTAGAACCACTTCAGAGGCAATCATGATTAGCGCTTTGGCCCGAAGCCATATTTTACACATAAACAAAGCATCTGTTTCTGAGTTCCTGTCCCAGGCTAACAGACCCACCTCCACTATTACTAATAAGCCCGTTCAAGAGAGCCAGATGGCCTATGTGAAACAGCCCCGGCGTTTTTCCTGAGCTAGGCGAACCAGAGCCACGGAACCGGAGTTGGCTCCCGATCATATTTCCTTGGGCTCTAGGAGCCAGCAAAGCAACACGTTAAACTGGCTCCACGAAACGCTGGGGCCATCCATTATTTAGAATCGGCGTGAGGCCAACATCTGCCCCTCCAGATGATCCTTTCATGTAGGTGCGCCGAAGGAAGATGAAAAGCGCAGCACACTTCTGCAGGAGCTGGTGCACCGCGACGCAGGCTGTCGCCATTCCTTGCGGGGAATTTTTTCGCCGACTTTGCAAATTCCTGCCTGCAGCAAGCGCTACTGCTCAGCTGTCCTTGCTGCACGTTGTATGTACTTGACAATTGGGTGGTTTTTACATATTTAATAAAAGTGTCATATTTAATTAGTGGAACTGGGCTTTAAAAAAAGGATCTTGTGCTCCTTAGCAGCAAGTGGAAGCACTGACAGCCAAACAGAGCAGTGCTTGGCTCGTTCAGTTCTAAGATCTCTTTTCTTTCCTTTTAAGAGAGACCCAAGTTCTCATTTAACCAGTTCAGTTTCTAAGTAGTCCAGATGCTCCACAAGTCGTGAAGTTAATGCTGCAGGGAAATCCGTAACTGACCTGGCCTAGGAAGACAATTAGAGAGAAATCTGGTTCTGTTTTACTTAGAAGCACAGAGAGAGGTGGCAGAGAGAATCACAGAGTGGCCTAGGCTAGAAGGGACCTTAGAGATCATTTAATCCAACCTCTCTGTCATGGGCAGGGACACCTCTCATCTGGATCAGGCAACACATGGGGACCGAACGGGGATAGTGGTAAGGAGAGATGGCCATTTACGTCAGCCACCCCATCAAACCATATGTATAAAGAGAACTGAAATTTTACGAGAACCGAAATTTTCCCCCTGCTGCTCTGGTGCATGGTGTGCGTTGTTGCACGATGCCGACAACTGAATCTCGGCAAAGCGTGTGCCTGCATGGACTATCAAAACCAACGCACTACACCAGAAGCAAATGAGCTCCACTCTAAGAGCAGCAGCAGGTCACATCACCCCTGCAGAAGCAAGGGAGTATTGGAGAGAGAAAGTTCTTTCAGAACAGCGAACGCGCTTCTTGTGCGCCGTTATCCCCAAGCTACAGACAAAAAAATCCTTTACTTCTGTCTCGTGGGGATACCAGCAGATTTGCAAAGACACAAACCTCCCCAAACACAGCTATCTTTCCCCCACCTTGCCATCAGAGACAGAAAAACGAATCACTGTATGAGGGGGAAAAAAAAACCCCAACCCCTCATGGAAATGTGCTGAAACAATTGAGGCCTGTCACTCCTCTTCATTAAAGGCAGGTTCCACAGTAGTTGCTGAAGCTGTCTGGGATCTCTTGGGATAAAAGCCGGAATAAGAATCTGTAAAGTATTGTTCTCCTACGCTTCCCCCACGCTGCCAGTCTTGCGAGCTATGCACACAGGGCATTCCTCGACTTTAAAGGAAAGCCCTAAAGAACAGTCACATTTCACAGCCTGGATCAAGTGCAATCCTCAGTCTGTGTCCCTGTTCACACTCGCGGCTGGGAACTCAGCTCCACTTTCCGTCGGAGCATAAAGGATTTCATGAAAGGTGCATAACCAGCATCGTCCTGCTCCTGCACGGATTTCAGCTGGTTTTCCTTGAAGGGATTATTGCAGTGCAGGTAAGCAGGAGTATAAGACTTGAAGCAAAAAAAAAATCTCCTTCTGCATTCATAGAAATGTAAGAATACACTACCATATACATATGGAAAGAATGACAAAATTTCCAAGTTTTCTCACTTCATATTTTGAGTTGCACAACACTGGGCATTTTGCGGGGTGGGGGGGAAGAGAGTTGTGGTGTTTTCTCCTTGTTTGTTTTTTTTTTTTCCCATTGAGGGCTAGAAAGAAGGGGCTAAGTAGAAAAAGGAAGAGGGGAAAAGTGATCAGAAGCAAAACCCCTTGTCTCAAGAGGAACAGCAGGCTCATGGTTCTTCCAAACTTCATATAATTAACAAAACTGATACTGATACCGAGCACCACCTACCCTGGGCATTACTGACACGAGCAGTTTCTTGCAGGCTTTACCAAATCAAATTATTTGGAATAAATCTTTGGGATTAATTCCACCCTCTGAGAAAGGTGGTTTAACAGGACAATTGGGAATGAAGTCTTAATCTAACAAAACATCATGTGGCCTGCGCAGCCCCTTCCAAAAGACATTAATGGAATTACCAAAAGTTTTTGCAGTAACTCACAGCTGCAAGCTCACCTCAGCCTGCTACTTCCAGGAGAACCAACAAATAAGCAAACAAATCCCTCTGTCATTCCCATAGAGCATGAAATTCTCTGCACCTCTACAGGACAATTACACAGTGACAAAGGTGCACAACTTATTTAATGCCTAGTTTTTGTCTGCTGAATTAGCTGAGTGTCCCCTGCGAGCAAATGCTCCCTTTGCACATCGAGCACCCTAGTAGAAGCATCTACTACATTCTTCTTGATCTGAACAGCTAATTTAATACCCTTGGACAAAAGGGGCCTGGTGTTTTGGTAAGCTCCCATGGGCCTAACTATCACAAAGAAGGGATTGTTGAATACACACATTAAAAAAAAAAAAAAAGGAAGAGATAAGAGGCAGGCGGTCTGATCTTTATGACCCTCTGATTATTCAATCAATAAGCAGAAGCATAAATCTAGCTCCTGACCTAACAAAATACTGTTTTGCTCCCCTTTATCTATATTTTATCTTTCATAGCCAACAGAAGATTAAACATTACAAAAGGTTATGTTCTCACCGTGTTCATCACATGGCAATAAATTGCAAGTTAAGCCAAGCAGAGGTTTCAGCAGCAGCTCTCCTGACAGTTGTGTGACACTCTTCCTGCAATTCACTCTGAATACACTAGTGCCACTAATACCAAGAAAGTCCATCTGGAAAATTTGACAGCAAATTCAAATCGCTCTAACGATCTTCTTAACGATTTAATGGCAAATCTATACACTAATACAAGAAAAAGTGAGCTCTTCTCCAATCATCTGTTTACCACAGAACGTAAAATTTCTTCCCTCGCTCTGCCTTTTTGAGCATTCCCAAACACCAAGACCAGTATCAGCCTTCTTAGCTGACTTCCCTGAGCTTTAAATGAAGGCTTCAGACTCGTCCTGTTTTTTTTATCCCACATGAGTTAAGAGGAGAAAATTAAAAGAATTGCAGGGAGGGGGAAGAGAGACAAAGAGACTTCAGAAGGATGAGGAAGGGAGCAGACTAAATCTCTAATCCACGACAAAGCTCAGTAGCCCAGTTACTCGGACTATGTATGCCCAACAGACAGGCTGAGCGGAAAATGGGTCTGAAAAACTACGTATTTTATGGTCCATCAATTTGGGAGAAAATGGCAGAGCTTGCATCTGTTTTGAACTGGATGCAGAAAAAAAAGCCACATAATAGGACAAAGAGCACTGGCCAGAGAGACAGAACAGTTCTCCTGTGACAACACAAACTTCCTCCAAACGTTTCAGTCTAAAGGGTTCCCTCAGTCACCAGCTGCTCTGTTTACGCCATGAAGCACCGTATGTTGAACTGTGCATTCTCATCTCAGATGCCTGGTCCCGAGTTTGCAGAGATTCACCCTTGTCCTAGTGCAATGCAAGACCAAGACCTTCAGCTTAGAAAACTGTGAAAGTCTTTGCCCACCTCAAAAAATAAACTCAGATATAAAGGTGAAGAAAACTGGGCAAGGCTTCAAAACACATGGTCTAACAGCCCCATCAAAAAAGGCTTCAGCTGCACAACTCCGCTGCCAGAAAGGCGCCAAGGATGCAAGATCGACTTCTCCGACCAGGACAACCTCCTGCACCTCCACCTCCTCGTCTACCCCGACGAGGGCTTCTACAAGGGAGGGGAATTCATCTTCAGTTTTAACTACCCCCACGACCCACTGAGGGTGAAGCAGGAGTTCGTGCCCCATGTTGGGCACCAAGGAATCTGTCAAAGTTTACAGGCCGGTCACTAAGCTCTGACAGAGCCTCTCTGTGATGCCACCACCACCCTCACAGCAGGGGCTCACAGGGGAACCGGGCAGAGCGACTCTGAGGCTGAATAAAACTTGAACCACTACAATGAAAAAGAAAGTAACACTTAGAATAACAGCGGAAGATGGTGAACTACACAAGCATGCAAATATATTCAAAGATACATGAGAATATGCTCAGACGGGACCCATGTTTTCAGATGCCAACAAGGTTCCAAGGAGGAAAAAAAAGGCCCCAGGCTGGACTCAGCAGCAGAAGGGAGCACAAACAGAAAACAAACAGAAAAACAGAGAAAGGGCTGTGCCACTGCCACTGCGGGAGGCAAATCAAGCCAAACTACTCTAGAGTCCACCCCTAAACCATCTCCCCCAATCCCATATCTCAACAGCCTTTAAACCTCTCCAGGGGTGGGGACTCAACCCCCTCCCTGGGCAGCCGGTGCCAAGCTCTGACCACTCTTTCTCTGGAAATTTTTCCTCATGCCCAGTCTAACCCTGCCCTGGTGCAGTCTGAAGCTCTTCCCTCTTGTTCTGTCGCTCATTACCCATGAGAAGAGCCCAGCCCCAACCTCTCT